TGCTTAAGTTCTGTGCCGTGAATCTGACAGAACCGATCCTAAAATTGTTCAAGTTATCTTTGCAATCGGCGTCTTTCCCGTCAATCTGGAAACAGTCATTTATTATTCCTCTGCACAAAAAAGGTAGTAGATCTAACATTGAGAACTATAGAGGAATTGCTAAGCTTTCAGCTATTCCTAAAACCTTTGAACAAATAATTACCAGTCAACTTCAACATTCGTGTATCTCCATATTATCACCCTGTCAGCATGGTTTTGTGAGGGGTAGATCAACCACCACAAACCTGCTTGAGTTTACTTCTTTAGTTTGGGATGGTTTTCTGACAAAAAAGCAAACGGATGTGATTTATACTGATTTCAGTAAAGCTTTTGATTCAGTGAATCACAAACTTCTGATTCAGAAGCTCGATTTACTGGGGTTTCCGTCGAATTTGGTTTTATGGCTATCAAGTTATCTTTCTAATAGGACTCAAAAGGTGCTATATAATAATATTATTTCTAAATCAATTGATGTTACCTCCGGCGTGCCTCAAGGCAGTCATTGCAGGTTATATTACTCATATAAAGCGCATTGAGTCAGTGCAGAAACAATTTCTGTTATTTGCTCTACGGGCACTTAATTGGGACTCAAATATTCATCTTCCACCTTATAGAAGCAGGCTTCTTCTTATTGATTTGCCAACTCTTGAAAATCGTAGAATATTGCTCGGGGTAATGTTCCTGCATAAGTTGATTCTCGGCGAGGTTGACTCCTCTGTGTTGCTAAGTCGACTAAACTTTGCAGTTCCGGCTAGGGCATCCAGAAACTACGTACCTTTCCATTTACCACTTTGTCGTCTCAATTTTGAAAAAAGTGATCCTTTGCGTGTTTGGTGCTCGTACTATAATGACTTGTACAAATGTATTGGTATTGAATGTTCGTTTGCTGTCTTGCATAATGCAATACTTCTGGGTCTAAACTGACATTTTAAATTTACTTTTTTATTTTTCTTTTTAATGTAATGTTAAATACATTTGTTAATTTTTAGTTAAGTTTATTTCTGTGTATATCTATAGTTACTGTACTTTGTATACTGTGTCAGTCAACCGAAATTGATGGTCGACTTTAAATAAATAATAATAATAATAATAATAATAATATGACATCCGAGGAGTATGGGTATAATGATAGGCAAAACATGATGCTGCTCCAGAGAGCAATAAAGGGGAAGGCTAAGGAGACAGTCGAGTGTCTCCTGATCCACAGTAGCAACGTCTCGCAAATTATGAAGACTTTGGAGGAACGGTTCGGAAATCCTGATTTGCTGGTGAAAAGCCAGATTAGTAAAAGTCGTGACGTGCCTAGTATCGCCGATAACCGAATAGAATTGTTGATACCGTTTGCAACTAAGGTTCAAAATCTAGCTTCTTTCCTAAAAGCGGCAAACTGTGACCATCATTTATGCAACCCGACCCTTATGGATGAATTGTTAGGTAAACTGCCAGTTTAACGGAGGCTGGAGTGGGCTAGGTACGCGGTGACGATTACTCCAAGAGCATCGATTATAGATTTCAGCAATTGGTTGCAAGAATTGGCTCGCGTTGTTAGTTTGGCATGCGCGAACATAAACGAGCGCTCAAAGTCAGCCTTAGGTGGTGATCAACGCCAGCGATTTTTTCACGCCAACGAAGTAGCTCCGAGTAGTAGGACTTGTCGAATTTGTTCGGAAGGTCATGACGTAGCAAAATGTAAGCAGTTTTTAGATATGCCTTGTAATCAGAGGTGGAGGGTTGCCCGTCTACATAAACTTTGTTTTTGTTGTTTGCGACCGGGTCATTCCGGTAACTGTTGCCCAACTCGTAGTCGAGGTGTAGGGTCCAGAGGGACGCATAAGCTTTTAAATGAACGTAATAATGAAACGAATAAGCAGCAAACGCATCCAATGCTTACCAGCGCCGTAGTTAGGCCCACATATAGAAAGATTTTGTTCAAAATTGTCCCGGTTAGGTTGTATGCTGGGAGCAAGCGAATTGATAGTTATGCATTTTTCGACGAAGGTTCGGCGATTACATTGATGAACGAGAGTTTGGCTGCGAGACTTGGGTTGGAAGGAAAAAAGGCAAGGCTGACACTTCAATGGTTCGGCAGCAACACCGCAACAGAGATGTCTACGCGCGTGGACTTGGGAATTTCGGGCACCAGGAAAAATAGTAGAATTTTCAACCTGAGGAACGTTAACACAGTGTCTGATCTACGATTGCCGATGCAGACGTTAAATATCGAGGAGCTTTCATCGAAATATCGCCACATGAAGAAGCTACCCGTATGCAACTACACCGAACTTACTCCAGAGCTACTGATCGGGATTGATAACGCGCATCTAGGAGTGGCACATAGGGTTGCCAGTGATGGATGGAAGGGTCCGGCGGTAATCATGACCAAGCTAGGTTGGGTCGTGTACGGTCCTACAGAAAGATGACCGATCGAGAACATACATCAGGTGTTTTATACGGACATAGACCATAGCCAGGGCGACGCGCTGCATCAGTTAGTAGAAGAGTTCATGGCCAGTGAAGACCTGGGCGTTCGATGCGTCGAGACGGTCGACAGCGAAGATGTTAAGAGATCCAAGTTTATTCTGGAAAGTACGACGGTGCGTAAGGGCGAGCGTTACGAGACTGGACTTTTATGGAGACGGGAAGATCCACAGTTGCCGAATAGTCGACCAATGGCTGAAAAACGATTGATCTTGCTGGAGAAGAAATACGAACGTGATGACGATCTCAAGAGAGAGTATGTGCGCGTTATGGCAGAATACCTGGAAAAGGGCTACTCTAGGGAACTTCATGACGACGAATTATCTGCTGAAAGTGACCGGACGTGGTATCTTCCTCACTTCACAGTACACAACCCAAACAAACCAGGAAAATTTCGACTCGTGTTCGATGCTGCGGCGAAGGTCGATGGTTGCTCCCTTAACTCTGCGTTATCAAGCGGACCTGATCAGTGCCAGCCTCTACCAGCCAGCGAGGGATCGGGGTATGCGCGGATATCGTCGAGATGTTTCACCAGGTGAAGATGCGAGAGAGTGATCAGGCAGCGCAAAGATTCCTTTGGAGAGCAAACCCAGACGAGCCAATCAAGGAGTACGCAATGGCGGTTATGACATTTGGAGCAACTTGCTCGCCTTGCTCGGCGCAGTACGTAAAAAATAGTAACGCTCTGGAGTTCACGGAAAGATTTCCGGAAGCCGTCAGCGCCATCCTCAACAACCATTACGTCGACGACCTAGTTCATTCATTTTCCAGTGAGTGCGATGCCCTGAGAATCCTTCCTGAAATCGTGTGGATACACAAGAGAGACGGATTCGACCTAACACGCTTTGTTTCTAATTCCCGGCAGGTTAACCAAAGATTCAACGATGACGCAGAAAAGCCTAAAGTCTTTAGCCTCGATAAGGAAGCTGGGACATTTCAAAAGGTGCTTGGTATGTGCTGGGACACTGGTAAGGATGCACTGCGTTTCGCAACAGCGATCGACAAGATTGACAGGAACTTACTGAATGGAACAAGATTACCGACCAAGCGAGAGGCGCTAAGTGTCACCATGTCTATCTTCGATCCGTTCGGCCTAGCAGCAGAATGTTCCTTGGTAGCCAAGCTAATCTTGCAACTGACTTGGAGGAAGCGGGTCGAGTGGGACGACGTGATACCAGTGGATCCAGGAGTTCTTTGGAGAAAATGGGTGGCGATGCTCGAAGATTTGGTCAACCTCAGCGTTCCGCGATGTTACAGCACCTCGTTCATGAGCGTTCCAGTGGAACTGCACATATTTGCAGACGCCAGTGAGCTGGCTTATGCAGCGGTCGCCTACTGGAGGATTATGGAAGCATCCGGGTCGGTTCAACTAGCGTTCGTGCAAGGGAAGACGAGATGTGCTCCACTGAAACTGACCTCCATCCCTCGCTTGGAGTTACAATCGGCGCTGCTAGCTACGCGTCTACGACAACTTATAGTACAAAGCCACGATATAATACCCTCAAGAGTGGTGATGTGGAGTGACTCAAAAACAACAATATCTTGGATCCAATCGGACCACAGACGCTACAAACCTTACCTGGCCCACAGAGTGAACGAGGTCTTGGAAAATAGCAAAATTGATGAGTGGCGGTGGGTTTCAAGCAAACTTAATCCAGCCGACTTCGGAACGCGCATAAGACAGGCAAAAAGGGAATCGTTTTGGTTGAGCGGCCCAACATTCTTACTTCAGAGCGAGAGTAGCTGGCCTGCACCGACGCAGACAGTGGAGACGAATGAAGAACTACGAGCAAAAATTACCTATGTCTCCATCATGAAATATTCCAAGATC